ATCTGACAAAGTCCAACACCAATTCATGATAAAAACCCTACAGAAAAATGGGATAGATCTTTATCTCAATCTGATAAAAGCCATCTATGACAGAACAATAGCCAACATCATACTAAATTGATAAACTGAAAGCTGTCACTCTAAAATGAGGAACAAGACAAAGATGTTCACTTCATCACTCAATATAGTTCTGGAAATAGACTGAACAATCAGACAAAAGAAAGAAATATAAGAATAAGGAATGGAAAGGGAGAAGTTAAATTATTATTTGTGGATGACATGATACCGTATGTATAAGACCCCAAAAATTCCACCAAAAGATTTCAAGATTTAATAACCAAATTCAGTAGCAAAGCTGGGTACAAAGTGAACACTCAAAAATCAATAACATTCCTGTACACAAAAAACAAACTCAAAAATTAGGGAAACCACACCTTTCAAAACAGCATCTAAAAACATGAAATACCTTGGAGTCAATCTAAAGTGGAAGTAAAAGACTTTCATATGGAAAACTATAGTACTTTGAAAAAGGAGATCAAAGGGTATATCAGAAAATGAAAAGATATCCTTTGTTTTTGGGTAGGAAGAACTAATATGGTGAAAACAGTCATATTTCAAAATTGTTATACAGATTTAATCAAATCCCAATCAAAATACCAATAGCATGCCTCACAGTTAGAGAAAAGAATTCTAAATTTCATTTAGAACCAGAAGAGGCCTGGAATAGCAAAAGCAATTCTGGGCAACAAAGGCAAGGCAGGAGGCGTCACCATCCCTGACTTGAAATTATTCTACAAGGTTATTGTGATAAAAACAGCATGATATTGACAAAAAAAAAAAAAAAAAAAATAAAATAAAAAAAAAAAAAAAAAAAAAAAAAGAGGATCAGTGGAACAGATAAGAAGATGCAGAAACAACTCCAAACATACTCAATTACCTTAACTTTGACAAAGAAGCCTAACACCTTAACTGGAAGAAAGATAGCCTCTTTAATAAATGTTGCTGGAAAAACTGGCTTTCCACCTGCCGAAGATTAAAAGTAGGCCCATATCTTTCACCATGCACTAAACTAAAATCAAATGGATCAAAGGTCTAAATATTAAAACAGAAACACTAAATGTACTGGAAGACAGAACAGGTAGAAACTCTGAAGTCATTTGCATAGGCAAAGATTTTATGAACTAAACTGATCACAGGAAATATCACAAAGGATCAACAATGGAGATCTCTTCTTACTAAAAAGCTTTTGCACAGCAAAAGAGATCATGAACAGAGTGAAGAGACAACCCTCAGTGTGAGAAAAAAAATTTCCCAGCTGTTCCTCAAAGGACTAATATCCAGATATAAAGAAGTCAGGGACCAGGGATGTAGCTCAGTGGTGTGGTGCCTGCCTGGCAAGTACAGGTCTTGAGTTTGATTCCTGGTACCGAGAAAAAAAAAGTTAAAAAAAAATCAGACTCCCCAACTTTTTATATTGTCCAAAAATTTTTTTGCAAAAACATTTATGGGTATATTTTGATACACATAATGATAACATTCATCATAGGGAGTTGTATCTTTACATGATATATCTTGTTTCTTTTTCCCATTCCCCTCTTTGACCCCTCTTTCCCTTATTTACAAGTTTTGTTTCCATTTTTCCTTTTTGTCTCCTTTCCTTTCCTCTTCCCACTTCCTTGTTTACCTTCTTATGTGAACATTTTCTTTTCATTTTTCAATATCTGTTACACATTTTAGTCCTCATTTTCACTTTTGGTTTCTCACATCAGAGAAACTATTCAGTACTTAAACATATGTGTTGGATTTATGTCACTTAGGAGTATGGTGTCAAGGCACATCCATTTAGCTAGAAATGTCTCGAGCCTTTCCTTCTTTATGGCAGAGTAATACTCTATTGTATAAAAAAACTACATCGTCTTCATCCATTCATCTGTTGATGGACATTTGGGCTGTTTCCAAGATTTAGCTACTATAAACTGTGCTGATATAAACATGAGAACTCCGAAATTTAAAGACCCAATCCAATAATGGGCATCTGAAATGAATAGACACTTCTCAGATTAAGTAGAGATGGCAAATATATTAAAAATATGTACTCATCATTCAAGAGATGCAAATTAAAACAATGCTGAGATTACATCTCCAGAAAGAATGGCTATTATTAAGAAATCAACCAATAATAAATGTTGGCAGGGCTCTGGGGAAAAGGATTCCTTCTCCACTGTCAGTGGAAGTGTAGACTGGTGCAACCACTGTGGAAATCAGTGTGGCGATTCCTCAAAAACTAAAAGTAGAGGTTCCATTCAACCCAGCTATTCCCCTTCTTGGTATCTTCCCAAAAGGATTAAAAGCAGGGCTGGGGGATGTAGCTCAGTGGCAATATGCCTGCCTGGCAAGCACAAGGTCCTGAGTTTGATCCCCGGGACCAAAAATAAATAAAAAAATTAAAAAAATAAAAGCAGCATACACAGTGATATATGCACACCCATTTTTTTTTTTTGTACCAAAGATTGAACTCGGGTCCTTGTGCTTGCAAGGCAGGTGGCACAACTACTGAGCTATATCCCTAGCCCACAACCATGTTTACAGTGGCACAGTTTGTAATAGCTAAATCTTGGAAACAGCCCAAATGCCCATCAAGTGATGAATAAAAATGTGGTGGTTTGTTTTTATATATACACAATGGAGAGCTACTCTGCCATAAATAAGGACAAGCTTGAGACATTTTCAGCTAAATGGGTGCACCCTGAGACCATACTCTAAAGTGACATAAATTAAACCCATATGTTTAAATATCACATTGTTTCTCTGGTATGAGAAACCAAGAGTGGAAATAAAGACTAAAACATATAATAGATATTGAAAAATGGGAAGAAAATGTTCAAATGGGAAGAGGAACAAGAGAGGGGGAATGGTAAAGGAAAGAAGGGACAAGGGAAAAAGAATAGAAGGAAAAATGGAAACAAAGTTATTGTAAATAAGGAGGGGAATAGGGATCAAAGGGGGGAAATGGGAAAAAAAGGAAGCAAGATATCTCAGGTACAGGTACGAATTCCCTGTGATGAACGTATCATTATCGTTACATATATCTGAAATGTATCAATAAAGGTTTTGCTTCAAAACCAAAACAAAACAAGCAATCTTAGCTCACAGAATTTGAAGGCTTAAGTAAGTCTACCTAGCTCTGTGATAGGGCAAACTTTCCCTATAAAACAGGCCTCCAGGGCAGTGGGTGTGGGAGGGGATGGGAGCTGGTACAGCTTATTTCCAGCATGTGAATGATTTAGGCCATTGCCTTGCTTGGTCCTGAGGGATAATCAGCCCCACCTGACACCACTTGTGAGAGGGTTTCCACTTAACTAGGATGGAAGGGTTTCAATAAGACAGAAATTTTGTCCTGGTTTCCTGCACTTGGGTCATTTCTTTTTTAAATCTCATCTGTCTTACTCTGTAATGTTAGTTTTGTTGGAAGTAGCACAATCCCATACTAGGGAAAACTGTAAATGGTACACTCTCAGTTGTATCCTGCAAGCTCTGAAAAACTTCCCCATCCTCAAAAAGGCATCAGGGTGGAAAAACTTCTGGAGAAAAAGACTGAATAAGGGAAATCATGTCTGCGACAGGGCTGATTAGGAGGGTTTCCTATGCCTGAAAAAACAAAGATTATGTGCCCTGAATGCTGGGAGAAACCCCTCTTGGCTGTAATTATGGCAGCTGCTTGTTTTCACCTTTTCCAGCCTACCAAGCTTTCCTGACAGTGCAGACCCTAACAAAGCGAACTGCTCCAGCAGGTCCTGGCTGCTTGCTGAAGAACAGCAACAGAACCGACCCAGGGCAGCAGGAAATTACAGCTGAACCTCTACAGGCCCTCTGCATTTCTGCTATGTACCTGGTCTGTGCATGCCCTCCTGGAAAGGTGAGAGTTAAAAGGGCTCTGAGTGGAGCAGAGGAGAGGCATGTGCTTTTAATGTTTTGTTTTCCACAAGGGGATGGTGGTAACCTTTTAAGAATGCAATAGAAGAGAGGCGCCTCCATGAAGTCAAATGTGGGAGTGAAAATGAAACCGGCTTAAAAATGGGAAAAGATACAAATTGTGTGTGTTTTGGTGTGGAAATTAATATGCAAACTAGAAGGCTGGCTCATTCCACAGACATATGCTATACAGCAGAGGGGTGGGTGCAAAGTGCACCTAGCTGGGTGTGGTGGAAACACCTGTAATCCCAGCACTCTGAGAGGCATAGGCAGGAGAATTACAAGTTTGAGCCCAGCCTGGGCAATTTAGACACAGTTAGGTTTTATTAAAAAAAAGAGGAGGAAGCAGCGGCAGCGGTGGCTGTGGATACATTTCAGAGTGAGGCCCTGGGTTTAATTCTTTAAAAGAAAAAAAAAAAAGATAAGCACACCTGTCTCTACTTCCAATAAACATCTAATTTATATAATTTATGGTCCATTGAAACAACTTATCCAACTGTTAATACATATCCTATTACATCTGATTGTCTTTAATTCTCTGAGTATCTGAACTTGTAAATCTTCCTGCATAGGTGTAAGGTTACTCAACTCAGTTACCTGCAGCCATGGCAGGAGCCCAGATTCAGGCTGAGATGATACTGAAACTCTTGTAGTCCACTTCTCTCACTGTGTGAGGGGGTGATGTGTCTTGTCCAAGACTCACAGGGAGCCCAAAGTGGGTCTTGGCTAAGTCCTTCCAACAAAGTTTCTATTAGTCTTGTCGTCTTCCTGATAACTTTTTTTTTTTGGTACTGGGGATCGAACTCGGGTCCTTGGGCTTGCAAGGCAGGGTACCGAACCGCTGAGCTAAATCCCCGGCCCCCTGATAACTTTTTGAAAGGCTCCCCACCCTATGCTCTTTTTTTTGGTACTAGGGATTGAATCCAGGGCCTATCACACGGGCTTGTCTTTTCTTTCTTTTTTTTTTTTTTTTTTTTTTTTTTTTTTTTTTTTTTGAGATAGGATCTCACTTTGTAGTTCAGGTTGGCTTTAAATGTGAGGCAATCTCTTGTCTCAGCCTCCAGAGTGCTGGTCTTATAGGCATGCGACACTACTCCTATCCACAAAGGTCTTTTTAAAAAACTGAGCTATCCAAGGCAAAAGAGATTTTTAATTGCTTTAAACAGCATAGTTAAAAGAGAATGCTGCATAGTGAATAAAAACTAGACCAGTGACTGGCCTTGTGTCTCCTAGGTCGTAGATGTAGGTCACTTACCACTAGAGGGCACAAAGTTTTTCTCAGTTAATTTAAAGTCTTAAATACTGCCTGCACATGAGTTTTATCAACACAATGACATTTCCCATCAATCGTAACAGGTAAATGGCCATTTCTCCAGGATATTAAGTTGATGCAGACATACCAGTTCTGGGCACAAGTACACACACACACACACACACACACACAAATATAAAAGTATGGGATAATTCATATACAAGTTACACACTAAGTATATATAAGTACATTAATAAATATTTGTCACAATTGATGTCATTACTTTAGATTCAATGTTCTCAAAAGACTTCTTTCTTATTTTCAGGAAGCAGCAGATTTTTTTAAGTAAAAAGTTAATTCACACAAAGCCTAGTGGGCTCCTGCCAAGATGTGCAGGTCCACAGTATTCCAATCCCATCTCGTTGTTGTTGGGGTCCTTCAGTACTTTTGATTTAAAGGATAGCAAAGGAAAGGAGAATTCATTCTGCTATGAAAAGTAATGAACACAAGCTAGGTAATTTTCTCAACCATCCCATTAACCAATTCTTAGGGCCTTCTGACCATGAAGACTGGAGATTTATACCTAGAGCCCTAAAAATCCAGTCTCTGGGAAGACCAAGCATTTTCTAGCTGTGTTATATATATTTTGAACAAACTTATCCACATGTTGACAGAAGTTAAATTACTATTATATTATTTATGAAAGGGTTCTGGGGATCATCCTGCACAGTTGCACAAAGATTGAGAAGGCGAGATAGGTGTTTCCAATGGCAAACTGTTCAGGGAACATACTGGACATGGAGTTTAGAATAGGGCCTAGGTGTGTGGGATATATAAGTAGGAAAATATAGGCTAGTTCTGGGGACAACGACCAACTCAAAATGATCTTTAGTGTTATTCGGGGAGTTTCTTCACTGTCAGCTAACTATCTTCAATTAGAATCTCATTCTTATAATCTCTCAGTCTGAAATTATCTCTTACTTCAAATACCTTCGTTCACCTAGTGTTGAGTATTTTTGTTTATAGAATGAAACTTTTACCTTTCTGGTAAAAGGAAAAAAGGCTGCTTTTGATGGCAAGCCATTGAGATGCCTCCTTAATCTGGCTAAAAGAGGAATTACATAAGCAGGGAACTAGCTTTTTCTCCCCCAGCCACTTTTCTGCTCTGCTGCTCTTGGCATGTGGGCTTTCTCTTCATCTGTCTGCTCTCATGGTTGTACTGCAGCAGGTCCAGGGACCATATGTAGGTAGCACCATCTACAAAGAAATAAGAGAAATTTCTCTTCATGGATCTCTTTATTATTTCTTATTTAAGGGCATAAATATTTTTACAGAAACTTTACAGATAAAGATTTGTATCTCACATTCTTGGTCTGACCTTGGTCACATACCAGTTTCTGTATTTGGGCAAGGGGATAGAATTATAGTGTGATCGTTAACTGTTGTGTCACCTTGAGTGAGAAATGCCTAGCTGTTCTGGGTGTGGATGAGTGGTAGAATTACTGAAGAGGGAAGTCCCGCCCTGGATGTGGGAGCATCAAACAGTAGACTTGTAGTCTCAATGGTATAAAAAGGTAAATAAGAAGGAAGTCTCACTTCTGCTTCGTCAGAGGAGATCCAGTCTTCACCATCACCTTTGGATGTCTGTCTCCAAGCTTCCATACAGACTTTTCACCCTTCCAGCTCAGACTTCAGTTTCCAGCACAGACCCTTCCTTTGGTTTCCTGATGCAGATTCCAGCAGGACTCTGCAGTGAGCTCCAGGTCTTCCGCTTTTGACTGGATTGTTCAGTTCTCCAGTGTGTGGATGGCCCCTTTGCTTCCTTCTACACCTATTCTACATGTGGCCATTTAAGCCTACCTTGTAAATCTTAGTGTAATATAATATTTAATATATAATATTAAATCTGTTACTCTACTGAACTCTACCTGATATATACAATGACTGAGATAGGTATCTCTTCCCCATAGTGGCACAGTCATCACAATGGGGATAAAAACTGACTCTTGGTGATGAAGGATCTATTCATTTCCTGTGCTTGTATTACACATTACTACAAATTCAGTGGCTTATAAAAACACAAATTTATTATCTTACAGTTCTGAATGTGTGTTAATTATTATTATTATGTATAGTAGTAGTACTGGGGATCAAACTCCAGACCTTGAGCTTGCAAGGCAGGCAGCAACTATATACTATTTTTATTAACTACTATCATAGCATCGTCCTGTCTATTAAAAAAAAAAGAGTCTTAAAAATAATTCTTTTGCAATATTATTATTATTATTAGTAGTAGTAGTAGTAGTAGTAGTAGTAGTAGTACTGGGGATCAAACTCCAGACCTTGAGCTTGCAAGGCAGGCAGCAACTATATACTATTTTTATTAACTACTATCATAGCATCGTCCTGTCTATTAAAAAAAAAAGAGTCTTAAAAATAATTGTCTTTTGCAAACAAGGGAAAGTTGGGGACTTTGAAAGTCCAGTGCTTCTGGCTGCCTGGTCAGAGCTGCTGGTGCCATTCTGGGTCCTGCTGAGTGGTCTCCCTGCTCCGTGGCACTTACCTCATTAGAATTATAGTTCTTTCCCATGCCCTGGAAGACACTATTGAAAAAGGATACATCTAGTTCACTCTGGAAAAGAGAAAAAGAGTGCACAGGTAAGAAGAGGTGGAGGGGTGCTCTGAGCCAGACAGCCCCTGTTCTGCCTCTGACCTGGGAAGCAGAAAGCCCTGAGTGAGGATTGGGATTTTTTTTTTTTTTTGTATGGAGATTGAACTCAGGACCTTGTAATTTAGAGTTGATTTAAGGTTTATGAAAGGCTCTGCATAGGTTATATGCAAATACTATACAGATTTATGATTTATGAGCACTCAGACATTTTGATATCCACGAGGGTCCTAGGACCAACCCCACAGAGATGCAGGGATGACTACATGCAGTATTAGCCCAAATACATGTGTACAGTTGTAGGGATAGAGACAGACCTATGAAGTCTAAAAGGACATGTACATAGCAGCATTTATCAGTAAGTGATGGGGTTACTGATGATCCTTTTCCCACTTTAAAAAAAAGCTTAATTTTTTTAGAGCAGTTTCAGGTTCTCAGCAAAGTTGAGAGGAAAGTACAGAGATATCCCACACATACTGACCCTGTCCGCACTCATGTAATGCCTGCCCCCTTGTTGACATCCTGCCACCAGAGAAAACACTCGTGCCAGTGTTGTTCAATCTATGGATCTAGACAAATGTATAATAACGGGCATTTACCCTCCCCTTTCTTTCTGTTCATAGGTATTTTCATTTATTTTTCAAGGAAAATAGATGTTTATAACATAAGAAAGTCATAGAGGGAGAAAATGCTAAGCAGAAATTAGTTCATCTGTATGTGAATGGACATTAGTTTGTCAAATGCAGTGTGGAAACCCTCCTGCCTCTGCCTCAACTGCAGCAGCCCTCACGTCTTCAGAAGCTGCTTCCTTTGAAGCTGATTTGGATTTTGGTTTTGAAAATGTAATACTGAGATCCTTCTTTCAGTCCAGACAGCATGAAGCTGATCTCCAAAAACTGAAAATTTGGAAACTGAAAGATTTTTTAAAAAATAGCCCCAAATATTTACAACTCACAAATCTAGCAAGGTGTGGTAGCCCATGCCTGTAATTCCAGTACTTGGGAGGCTGAGGCAGGAGGATAGCAGAGACTTTGAGGCCAGCCTGGGCTACTTAGTAAGGTCAAAGCTAGCCTGAACTATACAGTGTCCCCAAAATAAATAAATATAATAAAACTCATAAATCTAAATACAAATCTTAGTTGCCTTGGTACTCTCCATGAGTGGGGCTGATCTCATTTTCCTCCTCAGAGTACTCTTCCCTCTTGCCTTCTTTTTTTTTTTGCAGTTATTTCAATTTGGGTTTTATTACAATTCTGAATATTACATTTCAACCTTAGTTTTCCTTATTTGCCTTGTGGTGTCATGTTTTAAGAACCTCCGTTTATATATCAAATTTTTGTCATGAATTAAGAGCACCAAATATAAAACTTAACAGTGCTAAAATGATTCCTTTATGACAGTAAAGTCAGTAAAAGATTTGTAGAATCTAAATATTAATACACCAAAATCCCCTCTTCAAGTGAGGAAGTTTCCTTACATGTCACTTACAAGCTAATGTCTTTTCACTTTATATAGATGAAGATGAAAATAAGAGCATGAGCACAATTTTCTTGCTTCTTCAGTCTAAAAAAATGTGTTTTATGGTTGTGAAAGCAAAAAACAAGAACTGGAAGGAAAATAAGTCACTGCAAATGATTAGTTTACAATTTTAAAAAAATAATCAGCATTTATGGAGTCTTCCTCTTTCCCTACACTTTAGGCAGCTATAAAAATGCAGAAAAAATGTGCATAAAAAATAAAAATAAATATGAAGGGCTACTGTAGTAGGCAATTTACACATTTTACTTAATCTTCACAGTATCATGACAGAATTATTATAATCATTCTATAAACAAACTCAGAAGAGTAAAATGACTGGTGCCCAAAGTTATACAAGTAACAGAGCTGAAATTTATTTTCAAATTTATGGCTAACAAGCGTAATCTCTATTATGCAGCTCTGGCTCCCTGAAGCCCCTCTTGCCTTCTTTTTGCTACAGTCTAGATTCTGTACTGGGTCATCCTTCATATAATCAAAGCCCTACATAATCACCTTGCTTAAATTATATACTAAGGTTTACTTCTGCGGTTTATGTGGTCCCTTACTCCCTAAAATTACAGCAATAATTCAGCAATGTGCTATTTATTTTTAGATACTGAATATAGTAATTAAAAAAAAACTTTAGCAATGATAGTGCTCATACCCACTTTTTATTCTCCTAGGTTTAAAACATTGTTATTTTGAGAAAGTTATTCTTTCTTCTTCGTGGGTGTCATGTTAAAGTGGTTAATCATGGCCAGCTCTGAATTGCAGACCCTGATTTGCAAGTAGTTTACCTTCACATGAGAGTAGTCACCAGGAGATAAGCAGGAACTACAGCTACAGGGTCAATATGGTAACCACCAGCCTGATGCAGTGATTTCATTTTAATTAGTTACAGTTAAATAAAATGTCAAAGTAAATCACTCAGTTCTACTGACCACATTTCAAGTGTTCAAAACATATATGGCTAGTGCTACTGGAGAGCAGGGGTATAGGACATTTTCTTTATGGACAGTGCTGGCCTTTGGTACTCTCTCCAAGCAAAAACACAGAACTAGATTTTAAAGCCAGTTCCAATGTTCTGCCCCCTCAAAGCCAGTCTTGGTCTTGCCTGGCCTCTTGCTTTCTCCTACATTTGGAGGGTGCTAACTCCTCCCTTCACAGATGCCCTTCATTATGGGCCCGGCCTGAGATCTGGTCTTTAAAAAAAAAAAAAGAAGCTGGGCATGGTGGCGCATGCCTGTAATCCCAGCACTTGGGAGGCTGAGGCAGGAGAATCGCTGTGAGTTCGAGACTAGCCTGGGCTACATAGTTACTTCCAGGTCAGTCTCAACTCCATAGTGAGACCCTGTCTCAAAACAACAACAACAACAACAAAACAAAACAAAACAAAATCAAACAAAAACCAGATCTCACTATGTAGTGCAGGCTGGCCTTGCACTTGGAATTTTTCTGCCTCAGGCTCCTAGGTGCTAGGACAACAGGTGTGTGGCATAACACCTAGCTTTAGAATTTGTACATTTTTAAAAAATTATTTTTATCATGTTTCAGTTTTTCCTTAGACATCATCTTTTTTTGAAGTATAACTTAAAATAAGTGTGCAGATGGGTGACTTTTCCATTGTGTTCACCATATACCATGAAGGCCTCTACAGCATTTGCAGGACTCCGGAGGGCCCCCTCCTGCCATCTCCCCATTGAATGGCTTATCTTGCTGGTCCAGGAATTAGACTTTGGGAAACAAGCACTGCACTTAGTTGTGAGGACGGACTGGCTGACTGTTCCATGAAAGAGTTTGCCAAAAGTTATAGCTTCTGAACACATGGTTTGCCCTTAGCATGTTGAAGTGCACTTGATTTTACTAATTATAGTAGATTCTATTCTGCCTCAGGAAGCAGAATCTTGGAAACAGTTCCTTCCTAGTCTTTTATATAAAAGCAAAGTAAAACAACTTTGAAAAATAATGAGCTTATACCACTGCTACTCCTTGAGAATATCTAATCAAGTCTCAGGAAGATCTGTGGCTGCAAAGAAAATCAAACTCAATAAACCAAAAACAAAACGAAACCCCAAAACCTAAAAAGACTGTTGGGTTTGAATTTTCACTACAAGCTAGGTAATATAGTTGGTGTGGTTCTGACTAAAAGCATTTCCTCTCAAGTTAGGAATGAGGAAGAATATCCATTGTCACCACTCTTAACTCTATATTCTTACAGCAACTAGGCAAGAGAATAAAAAAAGGGTTATAAATAGAAAAGGAAAAGTCCAAATTATCCTTGTTCACAAATAATATGATCCTATACATCAAAGGCCTTAGGTCTCCACCAAGAGACTTTCAGAGCTGATAAGTTCAGAAATGTAGCAGAGGATAAAATCAACATTAAAAAAGATCAACAGCTTTACATCAATAATGGATTAGCTGTGGAAAAAAAAAGCTGGAAAACAATTTAATTCACAATAGCTTCAAATAAAATTTAAAAATCTAGGGATCCACCTAACCAAGAAGGTGAAAGACTTCTGCAGTGAAAATTTTAGAACACTGAAAAAAGAACTGAAGAAGAACCAGAAGATGAAAAGACCTCCCATATTTATGGATGGGCAGAATTAAGTTTTAAAATGGTCATCTTATCAAAAGTAATCCTTAGGTTTAATGCAATTCCTATAAAGATATAATGACATTCTCCACAGAACTAGAGAAAAATCCTAAAATTCATATGGAAACACAAGAGATACAATAGCCAAAGCCTAAACAACAAGAGCAAGGATGGTGGAGGCATCACAATACCTGATGTCAAATTATACTACAAGCCAGGCATGCATGGTGGCAATATGTCTGTAATCCCAGCACTTGGGAGGTCAAGGCAGGAGGATTGCTGTTGAGTTCAAGGCCAACTTGAGCTACATAGGTTCAAAGCCAGCCTGAACTACATAGCAAAACCCTATCTCAAAGAGGAAAAAAAGTCACTTCTCAAAAGAAGCACAAAATAGCCAATAAGTATATAAAAAACATGTTCAACATTTTTATCCATTGGGGAAATGCAAGTAAAAACTACAGTAAGATTTCATCTTATCTCTGTCCAAGGGTATCATCAAGAATACAAAAAAACAAATGCTGGTGAGGATGCTTCTATACTATTGATAAGAATGTAAATTAGTATAGCTATTGTGGAGGTTCCTCAAAAAATAGAACTACACCACTCCTTGGTATATATTTGAAGTAATTAAAGGCAGCACACCATAATGACACCTGCATACCCATGTTTATTGCGGCACAATTCATAACAGGCAAGATATGGAACCAGCCTAGACACCCATCAACACTGAAAAGATAAAGAAAATGTAGTGTGTGTACACAATGGAGAATTATTCAGGTAAGAGGAAGAATGAAATTCTGTCATTACCAAAAAATGGAGGATCTGGAGACCTCTGTGTTGACAGAAATAAGGCAGAGTCAAACAGACAAGTATTGTATGTTCTCCTTAGTATGTGGAATCTAAAAAAGATAAGAAAGTAGAAGGGAGACTTACTGGATGGGGAAGGGACTAAGAGAGAGGGGTTGGAGTGTGAGAGCAAGTAAGAGGAGGATAAATAGATATGAGCAAAATGTATACATCAATTCCCTCCCATATATGAAACTGGGGAAGAGGTACAGCAGAAAAGAGAGTGGGGTGTGAAAATAATCAAATGATGTTACGTGCATGTACAAATCTGCCAAAATGAAACCCACTAATCTGCATGACTAGTAATAAAAGTGAAAAAAATAAAAGGAAGAAGTGCCATCAAAAGGCAACAATAGCCAGGCGTGGTAGTGCATGCCTGTAATCCCAGCACTTGGGAGGCTGAGGCAGGAGGATCGCTGTGAGTTTGAGACCAGTTTGGGCTACAAAGTGAGTTCCAGGTCAGTCTCAACTACATAGTGAGACCTTGTCACAAAAACAAAACAAAAAAAAACAAAAAAAAAACAGAAAAATAAAGAAAGGCAACAATACTCTTACAAAAAGGATATTTTGGTACTGGCATAAGGACAAACATACAGATGAATGGAACAGAACTGACAGTCTAGAAATAAACTCTTATATTTACAGTCAATTGATTCAAAATGAGGGTGCCAAGATGTTCACTGGTGAAAAGAACAGTTGTTTTTTTTTTCAATAAAAGTTGTTTGAACTAGATAGCTACATGCAAAAAAAATGAAGTTAGGCCTACAACTTACACAAAAATTACTCAGAATGGAACACAGACCTATGTAAGAGCTAAACTATTAAATTCTAATGTGAAAACAGAAGTAAGTCTTTCATGATGCAACTAGATTGGGCAAAGACTTTCTAGGCAGGATACCAAAAAACAACCAGCTAAAAAAAAAATCAATATTAACTGGTTTCCATCAATAGGTCAAAAACTACTGCTTTAAAAGGTACCATCAAGAACATGAAAAGGAAACTATGGAAAAAGAAAAGATGTTTTCAAATCATAAAGGACTTTACTCACAATATATAAAAGACTCTTGCAACTCAACAATGAAAAGACAAATACTGCAATACAAATGGACAGAGGAGCCAGGCACAGAAGCACACATGCCTGTAATCCCAGCAATTAGGGAAACTGAGGGAGGCGGATGGGAAGTTTGAAGTCAGCCTGGTCATCTTAGCTAAACCATGTCTCAAAAATAAAAAAATGGAAGAGTGGAACTGGGTCAGAGCACTGGCATAGCATGTGTGAGGCTTTGGGGTTCAAAATCCAGTTTGGGAAGCCAAAAAGCAGGGGTGAGATTTGTGCAAAGGATTAAGCACTCTTTTGTTTCACAAAGAAAATGTATCAAGCCAAGAAACACATGAAAACATGCTAAACATTATTAGGCAAACCAAATCCAAAATTGATTGGCTTCTATACCACTTTATACCCACAATGATAGTTATAATAAAAAAGATGGATAATAAGTTTTGGGAAAAATGTGGAGAAATGAGAACAATCATATCCTGCTGATGGGAACTTAAATAATCTAGACACTGGAGAACAGTGTGATAGTTCATCAAAATGTTAAATATGAGCCGGGGATTTAGCTCAGTGGCCACACACCTTGCAGGCGTGAGGTCCGGAGTTTGATCCCCAGCACCAAAAGAAGAAGTTAAATATGGAATTATCATATCACCCAGCAATTCTACTCCTAGGGATATGCCCAAGAGAACTGAAAACATGGTTATGCATAAATATGTGGATACAAGTGTTCATAGCAGCATTATTTATAGCCTCAAACTGGAAATAACTCACATGTCTATCAAATGACAAATGAACAAAGAAAATCTGGAATATCTGCACAATAGATTATTAAGCAATAAAAAGGAAAACAATATTATTTATGCTATAACATGGGTGGCTTAATAACGTTAATAAATAACAATAATATGGCTTAGTAACATTATGCTAAGTAAAAGGCATAGTCACAAAAGACCTCATAATTGTATAATCCTATTTATCTGAAATGTCCAGAACAGGCCAGTGTATAGGGACAGAAAGTAGATTAGTGGCTGCTAGGGTCTGGAGTAGGTGGAGGGGGATTTTAGGGGAAAATGTTAATGGATATTATGTTTATAGAAATTTCCTTAAATTGATTATGTACAACTCTGTAAATACTAAAAGCTATATACTCTGAGTGAGTTGTATGGTATGTAAATTCTATTTCAATATAGCTATTAAAATAAAAAGAGGATGGTTTAAACTAGACTCGGATTTCTATAGAGGAATCTAAAAGCAAGGGTTTAGATGGAAATGATACTTAAAGTGAAAAGGGTTCAGGTGTCTTAGTAGGGAAAGCAGAGTGAAGTAAAGAGAGAACAAGTGAGAGCAAAATTTTTTAACTGAGAGAACTATGAAGTATTTAATCTTTGAAGAACCAGTTCTTTATAAAGATCTAACACATACATAGGCTTGTAATTCTTCAGATGAGCCAGAAGGAAAGATAAGGAAAACCTGGCATCATTTGAATTTTAACTTTTACACATTTAAGCTTTATTTTAACATAATCTCGATATACACCTAAAGTGACTCAATTTCTAGAATAATATGCTGAGGCAGCCTACCATTCTTCAGTCAGTAGACTTACCACTCGGCTGAAGTACTCATCTAAAACTTCCACAAAATTGTGGATGAATTCATAAATGGCCATCTCATTCTGAAATAAAGAGGAATACATGTGATTAATTTTAGCATGGCAGCTGAGCACAGTGGTACAAACCTACAGTCCCAGCAGTCTGGAAGGATGAGTCAGGAGAATGGCAAGTATGAACCAGCCTGGGCAACTCAGCTATTTTGGGAGACTGTGTCTCAAAAGAAAAAAGAAAAAACAAAACAAAATGAAAAAACAAGGGCTGAGGATGGATATAGCTCAGTGCAAAGATCCTGTGTTCAATCCCTGGTATTGAGAAAGAAAAAAAATTAGCGTGGCCCTCACGTAAATCAGACATAGGAATTTCCCCAGTTAGCCACCAGGTTTTAGAGCATGTGGCTTAGAAAGGAATAATGTGATCAAACATCCAGAACAGACTTATTAATGGCTTACGTAAAAGATGCTTATTTAGCTGGTTGTGATGGCGCGTGTCTATAATCCCAGTTACTTGAAAGACTGGGGCAGGAGGATCACCAGCTCAAGCCTGGACTGAGCAATTTAGTATTTTATTGAGACCTTGTTTCAAAATTAAAAAAAAAAAAATGTCTAGACATGGTGGTGGATGCCTGTAATCCTAGAACTCTGGGAGGATGAGATAGGAGGCTTGCAAGTTTGAGACTAGACAAGAAACTTAACAAGACCTCATGTGAAAATTAAAAAAAAAAAAAAAAAAGGCTGGGGATGTAGCTCATGGCAGAGGCCCTAGGTTCAACCTCTACTAGCCATCCCCCAAGAAAAGGCACAGGTCTGGGGGTGTGGCTGGGGATGTAGCTCAGTGGTACAGTGCTTGACTAGCATGCTTGAGGCCTTGGGTTTGATTCCCAACATGGAGGGAATGCAGAAGATGCTTCTTAATGGAGGAAATATAGTATAGGACAACTTTAATCTCTAAGACTACCTTCTGAATTTATTTAGACCATAATGCTGATGAAAGTGAAACTTCAGAGCCCAGTGTGTACAGATCTAAACTGTACTAACTTTTATCACCAACTGGCTTAAGTAATTTTTCAGGTTTGTCATACCATTGTTTCTCTATCTATGAAGACAGGAAAAGCACCTCAGAGTGGTTCATGGATAAAAACAATCCACTGAGATTTCAGTGTTTTTAGATCCGAAACACCCTTCAAGGGACTGCATGTGCCTTTGATGTGGGACCCATCTTTCAAGAAATGTAAACACAATGCTGTCATATTTATAATTTACTCTAACTTTGATATCAGCCGGTGTTTAATGTGGTGACTGACTCACACATGTGTGGCCTCTGACCTCATCAGAGCTCATCTGAGCTGCCCCCATTGTGTGAATGAGGGCAGGACACTGGAATGGCTTAGGATAGAGGGAGACATTTTAGGTGGGTGCAGTGGAGTGTGTCTGCCCTTCCAGCTACTTGGGAGGCTAAAGTGGGAGGTCAGTTGAGTCCATAAGTTTGAGACCAACCTGGGCAACACAGTGATACACAGTTTCATTTAGAAAAAAAATTAGCCAGGTGTGGTGGTTTATGCCTGTATTCCCAGCACTTGAGAGGCTGAGGCTGGAGAATTGCTAGAAGTTTGAGGTGAGCCTGGACTACATGAGAGAGTAAAAGGCCAGACTGAACTACATAACAAGACCCTGTTAAAGAAAGAAAATAAGCTGGGTGTGATTCCACAGGCCTATAATATCAGCTATTCATGAGTCTGGGCAACATAATAAGACCTCAAAAAGAAATGAAAAAAAAAAAAAGGCATGAACCAGCCCCTAGGTTTAATCTTCAATACTGGGGGGAAAAGGTCTCACAATAATTCTCATGGAGATAAGTAGGAGAATGAATAAAAATCAGAGTGATCCCTAATTTCCTTGTATTTTTTATGGGCTCTTCTAGTATCTTACCTCAGTGTCATTAACTCCAACCACAATGAAGAGAGCTGCGTACTGCCGATATATCAGCTTGAAATCCTTATATTCAATGAAAGAGCACTAGACAAAGCACAAATAGATAGTAATGTCCTCGGATGAAAAGAGATTTCTTCAAAATGGCATGCATGATCTCTAAGTTCTGGTTTGAGCATCTGCCACACAGTCCTAGAAATATAGAACAGTGAAATGTAAAACCGCCTTTGTTGGCCTTCTCACAGCGTTTGGAGGGCTCCTTGGAAGCATCTCAAGAGGGTGTAGAGAAGTAGAATGGGAAGAAGTCTGAGATCACAGGGCTTACCACTTGTACTCTTCCCATTCATTTCTCAGTTCTGTGTGGAACTAACTCAGCAGCCAAAGCTTATGAATAATGAGCATTTTCAGTTGTCTTCAATGTGAAGATACACAAACATGATAAAGATTCTTTTGTTTCCACCGCCCTCCATGGTGTCTTGGGAAGCAATTAGATATGCTCAGTTATGTACTATTTAATAGTCACTGAGAAGACAAATACAGTAAAAGCATTATGTGCGTGTGACGTGTGTGTGTGTGTGTGTGTGTGTGTGTATAATACATATGTATTCCTTTTTCCTAGATGCATCATAAGAATCAATGTAGATTCTTCTATAAATTATTTAAAGATGGCCTTTGTGAGGTGAGTGCTAGACAAAATCTCCCACTGTAAACACTGCTTCATATGAATTAATAACTAGCTTACCACGACTGAGTGGTGGATGAAACAACTCCCTTCTCTTTCCTCATCTTTCATCTCTCTCCTAAAACCACCTCACAGAGAGCTGTGTGTCAGCACTGTGATTTAGACAGCAGGCTGAAGGTGCAGGGTTACTCTTCCTTTGGACTTTGTCAGGGTGTGCTGACCGGATGTGACTGAGTATAAACTTTATGGCTTTTGGTATTGTGAGATGTTGATGTTGTGTGCATGGCCTGTATTTCAGTTAAAATGATGTTTGATAGTACAGTGACTGTATTCTGTAGAAAGATTCAAACAGGAACACTTGTCTGTTTACCTTTATTTAAAGCATGCAGCTATTAAGACAGGCCTTTTTAGCATTTCCATTCAAAGCAGTGCACACAAAAGGCCAAAGTAGTAATTCAAAGAGAAACTCTGAGATGTCCGAATTGGAAAATACATTTAAAAGCCAAGGGAAGCACATTTACACCATGTAACTTCTGGGCTCTGATGTAGCTTAATAGATTAACACTTTGCAGTGGTTTCCACATGTGCAGGGAAATGGAAAAGTAAGGAAATTAGTGTGTGATTTAAACATGACTTCTGATTTTGCTTCAGCTGTGACTTCCAATGGATTTGATTTAAGACCTGGATTAAATAATTCTCTAAAGTTCTTTGTGAAAAATTGGTTCAGTTAAAAAAAATACTATTTATGGGCTGTGGTAGAGCAGTGGGGGGTGTGTGTTTAGCATGCACAAAATTCTGAGTTTAATGTCCAATCCACACCATAAAAATTCTATCATTCTAATGATTTTATTTAGCCTTCAATTGGAAGGATGGGACTGGGGTTTAACATAGTGGTAGAAAGCTTGCCTAATACATTCAGGGCCCTGGGTTCAATACATTAGAGCCACAAAAGAAAAAAAATTTTGGCAGGATGGACAGATTGTTGTTTTATGTGACTTTTTAACTTCCATTTTTTTCTCATCTACATGATAAAATAAAACAAATTCAAGGGCCGGGGATTTAGCTCAGTGGTTCCACAGCCTGCCTCACAAGCACAAGGACCCAAGTTTGATTCCTGGTACCAAAAAAACCCCCATAAAACAACAAAAACAAAAAACCCAAATTCAAATCATGTTTGTTTTGCTTTCAAATTACTAGTGCTAGCATTATATCGGTATATAGGATATTTACAAAAATGATAATCAAGAAAAAATAGTATCCTTACATGGGAATCATATTATTATCCTCTGGCACAAAATGATATTATTATCCTTGAGTATTCACCTTCATACCAGTCATTTGACCTTCAATTTTGGCTTACAGAGAGCCACCTGCTACAGGCACTCCTAAGAATTCCAAGGGCTGAATTCATATGAACAAAAAAAGATTGTGTTTACTGGCAGGAGTAAATTTAGCTGCCACTTCTATGGTGTACTGAGACAAATATACTGACCTAAGTAAGAACCCAAGACTATTCCTGCTTTTCTTGTTTTTCTGCTCTTTTGGGGATGTAAAGAAAGATATGCTTCCTTAGGTTATCATTCCTTATTTTCCCTAATAGCTGTTGAAGGAACATAGTTCAGAGAAAATGATGGCCCTTGAGACTCAGTAATAACATAACTTTCAATGCCAAGTTGACTGCAGAGATGAAAGAAAAACATCAGAAACTTACTTGTTCACTGGATCGAGAGAGACAGCTCTTTATGACCTCTGTTTCCAGAAGTGTACGCCTATTAATGTCCACGTGTTCATAGTACTTAGAAAGTCGGGTCTGTCCTTGTTTATTCACCATAAGGAAAAATTTTATCATTTTTTTTTCCTGGCCAGTCTTTTCCAAAATAGAGTTCAAAAGTTATGGCTATAACTGGAACATGGAAGAGAAAAGAGTAGAAAGCCAAGGTCAAGTTTCTCAATCATATCAAATCTGTTCTATAGATGAATCAGAAGTAAATAAAATATTATATGGTAACACCAGTTTTCACTGCAGTGAACTAAATGAGATTTTCATAAATAATAACTAAACAAATTTTTTTTGGCTTTTTTGAAGACAGGGTCTCACTATGTAGTTGTGACTTCCCTGGAACTCACTATGTAGCCCTGGCTGGTCTCGAACTCAGTGATCCTCCTGCCTCAGCCTCTTGAGCACTGGGATTACAGGCTTGAGCCACCACGCCTGGTTTAAACATAAAATTTCATTGGTTATCTTCAAAAACAATTTTGGGCAACAGTAACTCTATTCATATTCATTCAGTTTATTCATCAGTTTTGCGGAGCACCAACTATGTGTCAAGCACCAGAAGAATATGGAGATGAAGAAGTGATGACTTTGCAAATCTTTATTTCTTTATTGTGTATTGTCTCATAGGACTGTCTTAGTTACTTTTTTCATTGCTGAGACAAAATAGCCAACATCTAAGTTAAAGGAAGAAAAATTTATTTTGGCTCACAGTTTGTAGAGGGGCTGGCTCCAAGGCAGGGTGGCACGGCAGAGGAGAAACAGTTCATGGTGGGTAGAAGGCAGTAAAGCAGTGAAGTAATTAAGAAGTAGCAAGCAAGAGACAGCAGCAGACCCCTTATATTCTATCCAGGCTACATGCCCTTAGGGCAGGTAGAACTCATACTGAGGGTGGGCCTTCTCATTATCCACACTAAGAACTCTGCCAAACCAATCAGTGGACTAACTTAGTAATCATATACCCTTAATCCCAGCATCATACACTTAATCCCAAAATCACATACTCTGGATCCAGTCATCTCTGAAAAGCCTCACCTGTAACTGCATGAGGCTTGGGGGATGGGGGAGGCACATCTAGACATAAACCATAACAGACTATAAGCTGCAAGAGAAAGAAGACCTGCATGTTCCAGCAGGATTCCCATATCTCCTGCTGAAGGGCCTGTCACCCAGGAAATAAGCATAAATACTGACAGCATGAATGCAAGAGCTGACAGAGCTCTCCTTTTTTCCCTGTCACCTGAGCTGGCTCACATCCTATAGGAGGAATTTAGTGGATCCTGGGCTTTCACCCATTTGGAGGTCTGGGGCTGTCCAGACAATGATTCTTAGCCTTTTCAGGGTTATGTATCTCTTCAGGTGTTTAATAAAGTCAACCCATTCTCCTTCCCAACAGAATACAACAGAATACAAATATGCTCGCCAGGCATCATGGCACAGGCATGTAATCCCAATACTCAGGAGGTTGAGGCAGGAGGACTGTGTAGGTTTGAGGCCAATGTGGGCTACATAGTGAGTTCAAGGCCAGCTGAACTACATAGCAACACCCTGTATCAAAAACAAAAACAAAAAAGAGGACACACATATGCTCTCAAAATTCTACTCACAACTTGGCAATGTGGCAACTTCTAATGCCTCCTCCCTGCAAAATAATAAAAATCAAGGGGAGGAAAGGAACTGTGAAACCAAGCTTGAACATCACAACACCTTAGGAGAGAACTTTTGAAAGGAGGCCTGCTTGAAATGAGATATGCTTCTGAGTTTCAGAGTTTATGATTTAAAAAAAGAAAGAAATATATGGGTATTAGCAGGAGGGTTAAAAATCCTGCTATTTGTAGCCCCCAAAATTAGTTGCTCTCTTCATACATGGTCCAGGACACATCTGCCTCCTAATCTTTTCCTTTGTATAATGTGTCAGGAAATATCTTTGCCAGATCTGATAAATACAAATCAAATCAGAAAAGTAGATTTACCCCTTCCCCAGCTAGCTTTAGGTGCTGGGGGTTCCAGGTAGAAAACTCTTTTATTTCTAGCCTGGTGTGCACCTGCTATGGCAGAGAGGAAGAGGGAGAGAGGGAGGGAGAGGGGGTGAGAGGGGGGGAGGAGAGAGAGAGAGAGAGAGAGAGAGATTATTACTAACTTGCCCCAAGTGCTACATTTATAGGCATGTGCCACTTCCCCCAGCTAAGTGAAGATTTTGATCTTCTAATTTTTTTTTTTAATTGAACTCAGGCCCTTGCGCTTGTGAGGCAGGCAGCACAACCACTGAGTTAAATCCCCAGCCCAAGAATTTCAATGCAGTTTTTGTTTTGTTTTGTTTTGTACCAGGGATCAAACTCTGATCATTGCAACTGCAAGGCAGGTAGCAGAACCACTGAGCTGAATCCCCAGCCCTGATCTTCTGATTTTTATAACTAGCAAAGGTGTTAGACATAAATAGCAGTACAAGGTGCTCAGTTATAACTGGTCAGATGCATCTCCATGTGTACACAGAAGGGGACCAAGGAATGTTGAAGGAGTTTAGGACTTACCAGAGAGGGACAGTTAAGCAACATTTCCAAGGATGACCTAGGAGGAGAGACTCAGGCACAGAAAACAGGACTGCCAAAGCTCCAGAAAGTTCACTATGGCTGCAGTTCATGGGGCAGCAATAATGGTCACAGGAAACCAAGCTGCTCATATAAGTGAAATTGGTGTTAGAAATCACAGAAAAGGCCTGGTATGGTGGTGCATGCCTATAATTCCAGCACTCGGGAAGCTGAAGCAGGAGGGATGCTTTGAGTTTAAGGGCAGCCTGGGCTACATAGTTCAAGGTCAGCTTAATCAGCATAGCAAGAACCTGTCTCAATAAAAAAGAAAAGAAAAACATAGAAAGGAATTTGAGTTTTATTTATGTGCAATGTACACAAGATCTATGGTGAAACTCTTCTTTAGTGGTGGAAATATTAAACTCACTTGTCAAATTTTTCTAAGGCCCTATAATAAATCCTATAAAGTCCTACACTAGGCAGTTTGTGAATATTTAATTATCATAATTATTTTGAGGCTCTTTTTGTTGTTGTTTTTGAGACAGGGTCTCACTTTGTAGTTAAGGCTGGCCTTATACTGTGTAACACATTGCATCAATCCTCCTGCCTCAGCCTCCTGAGTGCTGGGATTACAAATGGGTTCTACCATGCCTGGCTTGAGGCAGACACTTTTATTGTCTTTAAGGTCAAGCAAAGTAAAGTTAGGGACATCAAGATGTCCCAAAACCACAGCATTACCTTGTGTCAGAGGTGCATGGCAGTACATGCATGGATCTGTGATACCTCTAACTCAAATTCATCGTTATTAAATTTGGAAGAATCTTAGGTTTATAGAAAAGTCACAAAAAATAACCATTGTTAGCACCTCACATTGCCATAGTATATTGGGCAAAACTAAGAAAAAATATGTCAGTATTAACTCAACTCCAGAATATACTTGGAGTTCACCAATGTTTTCATAATATCTTTTGTTTTTGCTCTAGCATTCCATTCAGGATACCACATTAGATTTATTAGTAATGTCTTTTTCATCTCCTCTGGTCTATGATAAGTTTCTGAGTCTTTCCTTGTTCTTCATGACCTTAAAAGTCTTGAAGATATTGGCCAGAGGTCCTGTAGAATATCCCCTACCATAGGTTTGCCTAATGTTTTTCTTAAGATTAGACTTTTGTCTGGGGGGAATAATAGCCATAGAAGTGAAGTGTGCTTTTCAACACATAGGGGCATGATAGGGCAAGAATATTTGAGTTCTTTTCCTTAAGCATACTAAAGATGCTTAAGTACTTCTGTCTGACTTGCCACCATAAAATAGGTTGAGTTTTGTTTTTCTTATGTCAAACATTAATATTTTGGTATTACCTTATAAATTCCTAGTGAATTCTTAATGGTGCTGTAAGGCATCTGTAAACAATGGTGTTGTCTTCATCTATAATACAAATGCATTTAAACCAGAATATGGACCTCTCATAACACAAAAGAAAGCTAAAGAAGTTTTCCAGAAAAATGCAATACAAAGAGGTAAGTATTGAAATGTTGTAAAATAACCTCTGGTCATCCACAGACTTCCCTGATAACTATCCAGTGGTCCAGGCTGAGAATCTGTAGTACTGTGGGATCACTCATAAAGTCCCTTAAAGGTAAACAGACTTCTGGGATTTTTTTGTTTTAATCTTCCCAGTCACTTTATTACTACTTGGTACATGCAAGATATACTATATTTATATCTAGAGTAAATGAATGAAATGTTGTAAAATGAACATGGCGTACAGATCCATTTGTATTCTTTGGAAAAGTCTGATTTTAATGTGTAATTACTACTTGCTCAGAAAAATTAGCTGTCACTTTTAGCAGCTGCAATTACAGAGCTCAGTTTCCCAATATGCTGCCTAGGAGGCTGAAAAAAAAAAAAGAAACAGAGGATCATTACAAGGTTGCATCAGCCCAGGTGAACGTTTACAGCTCTTTTAACAATGGTTGGAAAGTCTCTGCTAAGAATCAGTTTGCAAAAGACTCAGCTGTCAGAACAAAAGAGAGAAGATGACTTAACAGGGTTTGATCTACTTCACAGCTTCTTTAAACACAAAACATTAATTATCTTTTTCATGAAGCATTCATGTTGGCTCAAGCCCCGTTACTCTGGGAGGCTGAGGCAGAAAGACTTCAAATTTCAGACAGAAGACTCAGCTAAACCTTGACTCAAAGTATAAACATTTTAAGAAAGGCTGGGAGGGCTGGGGATTTAGCTCAGTGGTTCCACTGCCCTGGATGCTTCGCAAGCACAAGGTACCAAAAATCAATCCCCAGCACCAAAAAAAAAAAAGAGAAAGGCTGGGGATGTAGCTCAGTGTGAAGGATCTGGGTACAATCATCAGTACAGAAAAATTAAAGAAAAAAAATAGTTAAGAGTCCATGATAAACTAAGCTCTACTGAAATATGTGCATTGCATGGAAGAAGTATAGGAGGTGTGGTATAAAAATACTGAATTTAAATTTTAAAAAATGTATTACTGTAAAAAGCACATTGCTGACAGCAGAGATATAGTTTGAAAGAGGCCCTTCAAATCCTGTTTTTCCTTTCTTTTCCTCATTCCACGCTGCAAA